CATTGTTCAGCTATGTTCATAGCAGCATTATTTGTAATAGCCAGAACCTGGAAAAAAATCTAGATAACCCTCAAAGGAAAAATAAATAAAGAAAGTGTGACATATCTACATATTAGAGTACTACCCAGTGGTAAAGAAAAAAAATGACATCTTGAATTTTGCATGCAAATAGATGGAATTAGAAAACACTTTACTGAGTGAGATAACCCAGACCCAAAAAGATGAATATGGTATTTACTCACTCATTAGTGGATTATAGCCATAAACAAAGGACATTGAGCCTATAGTTCATGATTCTAGAGAAATTAAGTAATAAGGTGAACCACCCCTCCAAAAAAACATATATAGACCCACCTGGAAATTGGAAGCAGAGAAGATTGCATGACAAAATTTGGGAGCATGGAGGTGGAGGGTAGAAGGAAGGGGAGAAGTGGAAGAGGAGGGGAGAATGGGAGAGTTAGGGAGAGCTTGAGGGAATGGGATAGTTGAGATGGAAGAAGGACAGATATGTGAGCAAGGAAAGAGATTCTTTGATTGAGGGAGTAATTTGCGGATTAGCAAAAAACCTGGCTCTAAAAAAAATATCTCAGGAATCCACAAGGATGACCCCAGCTAAGACCCTAAACAATAGAGGAGAGGGTACCTGAACTGGTCTTGCCCTGTAGTCAGACTGATGATTATCTTAAATATCACATAGAATCTTCATCCAACAATAGACGAAAAGACCTACATCGGAGCACTGGACTGAGCTCTCAAGGTCCAGTTGAAGAGCAGAAGGAGGGAGAGTATGAGCAAGGAAGTCAAGACCATGAGGGGTTCACCCACTGAGACAATGTGCCTGAGCTAATGGGAGCTCACCATCTCCAACTGGACTGGGAATGAACAAGCACGGGATCAAATGTTGTTGTCAGTTGGGGAAGACTGAGGGGACCATGACAATGGCACTGGGATTTGTCTCTACTTCATGTACTGGCTATTTGGGATCCTACTCTCTTTGGATGTATACCTTGATCAACCTGGATATAGTGGGGAGGGCCTTAAACTTTCCACAGGGCAGAGTGCCTCTCTTAAGACTGGGGGTGGGGGTGGGGGAAGGAGTATGAAGGAAGTGGGAGGAAGGGAGGAAGTTGGAATTTGGATTGGTATTTTTTAAAGTAATAAAATAAATATAATAAATATGTGCACACCCACCACCCAGCCTCTGTGGCTAGCTAGTGTATCTGCTGGTATTAAAAGTGTATGCTACCATGGCCTGGTCTATATGGCTGACTAGTGTGGCTGTTTTGCATTCTGATTTTCAGGCAAGCTTTATTTATTAAAACACAAATACTGCCGGCCGATGGTGGCACATGCCTTTAATCCCAGCACTCGGGAGGAAGAGGCAGGCAGATCTCTGTGAGTATAGAGCTAGTTCCAGGACAGGCTCCAAAGCCACAGAGAAACCCTGTCTCNCACAAATACTATATTACTTTCTTTCCCATTTTTTCTAAATTATAAAAGAAGGCTAAAACTAATATAAGAAAAACTGTATATAATAAGTATAGTTACTTTATGCAATACATACAGGAAATAAATACATCAATAATATCTAGTCCATATGCATTTGACAAATTCAGAAAAAGTACTCCACATCTATTCTATCTTGATGAGTCCAAAAGGTTGTATTTAATTGACTTTTTATTCTAATTTGCATTATCAAATTATCTTTTAACATCTCTCAACCTTTTATACTTTATACCTCTTTAGTAATTTTTTTTCTGGTGGCATCCAGATTGGCCTCTTTAGGAGGTTAATGTTCAGTTTTTAGGGACTGGAAATTTATCTTAGGTAAAAGAGCATGAGAGGGCCAAATGTATAGTGCCAGAAAGACAGAGAGAAGAATTAAAGTCATATGTTGCTAATATAGCAATGAATTTGTGGGCATGTGATTTGTTACATCATTGGAATACTCAGATTAACATTCCCCCAATCGTAAAAACAAAGCATATGTTAAGATATGTTTCTGGGGAAAATATTAGGTTTTATAAAAGAAGAACCTTCATCAACCATTAAGGTTGTACAAGAATAGGGCACAATAGCTTCTGATCTTCCAAAGGCACCAACAGCTCTACCATTAAAATGGTTAACAGAAAAACCTGTATGAATAGCACAATGGCCTTTAACAACAGAGAAACTTAAGACTTTGGAACAGCTTGTATAGGAGCAACTAAATGCTCAGCATATTGGCAAATCAACCAGCCCTTAGAATTCTTCTGCATTTGTTGTTAAAAATAAATCTAGGAAATGGAGAATAGTAACAGATCTAAGAGCTGTTCATAAGGTGATTCAGGAAATAGACTCTCTACAATCTGGAATTACTTTGCCTTGTCTATTGCCCAAATTATAGCCTCTTATACTTATTGATTTAAAAAATTGTTTCTTCACTATACCTTTACAGTTAAAAGACAGAGAATAAATCGCCTTCACAATTCTTATACTGCTAAGAGATATCAATAGAAGGTTCTCTCACAGGTAATGTTAAATAATCCCACTCAGTGCCAATATTTTGTATGAAAGCTGTTAAAAATGATATGTAAGCAATTTCCTTCTAGTTTACCATTATATGGATGACACTTTGCTATCTGGTTCAAATATAGATATTTTAGAAAAATGTTTGAAGAAGTAAAATATCCTTGTTGGGGATTAGAAATTTATTGATTAGAAAGCTGAGATTCCTTCCAACTAATGATCATTTAGTATCCATTACAAGTCTAAATTCAGTGCTGTGTGTTCATTAACAATATTACCTTGAAATTCTCCTCTAATAGGAAACAGAGAAATTACAAAAGGAAGGTCAAATTTTTAGAAAAAAATAAAATAAAATTCCATGTGCCATTTTAAATGCTGATGTAATATGAAAAGCTGTTCAATAGTCTGATTGAAGTCTTCTTATAAAAATTGTGAACCATCACATGGATAGTCTTGGAGGGTGAGGCGACATAAAGATGTGTAAGAGAAATGAAGGAATGAAGTCAGATTAGTCCTCAAGAAGAGAGAAGTGATTTATTTGAGGTCAAATCGGCTTATGGGTATGAAAACAAAGAAGACAGAGCAGCACTTTCTGGAAACTTGAAAGAATAAAGATATACAGATAAAGCTGGGAAAGATTTTTTTAAGTGACCTGAATGTGCAGCCAAGGAAAACACGCAGGTCAACATAGACTTCAATGCATGCTGCCTGAGCATTCTCACCACTTTACTACACTGATACAGCATTCTTAGTTTAGTGAGTCCCATTCGATGGAACTTGAAAACTGAGACTCAGAGAAAATGGGGACTTTTCCAAAACCATACAAGTTGAAAGTGACTGAGTTAGCATTACTACACCACCATTGGTGATTTCAAGGAAACTGTTATGTACCACATGAGTTTCAAAAATGAACTCTGTAATGCCCTCTGTAATGGTCTCCCATAAACATGCAGATCTTGTCTGCATTTCCACCCTCCTGATTCAAATTTCACAAAATCAGGACCAAGATATCATCCAAACAAACACTTCATCGTTAGTTGTGACTGCCACTATTAACAACATCTTTGTGAAAGTGTGCCATTCAAGTGTTTGGAAAAATACATGTCATTTTACAAGTACAGGACACGGTAGATAAACTACTATATTTGGGACTCTGATTGGTTGAAATTTCCTGGCTTGGAACTTTCTATGGCAGTGGTTCTCTCAACCTGTGGGTCATGATCCTTTCATAGGATTGAATATCAGATATTGTGCATAGCTACACTATGATTTATAACAGTAGCAAATTTACAGGTTTGAAGTAGCAACAAAGTAATGTTATGGTTGGGGGTCACCTCAACACAAAGAACTGTATTGAAGTATCACATTATTAGGAAGTCTTGGAAGCATGGCTCTAGGGCATCCTCTGTCACACCACTGTAGGTTTTTCTGTCTTGGTGTGACCATGTGTAAAATGTGAATTATTAGACCTACTAAAAGAGGGTTCTGCTGAATAAGGTGTATATATCATTTATATCACTTAACCTGCTGCCTCAAATAAGGTAGGTGTGAATAAATGGGAAAGATAATTAATGGGAGTCTATTTATTTATGACACACAGAGAGGATGTCAGAAACAGTATTGTTGAGGTCAGAAGAAACAGATTCAGTAGAAGCAGTAAATACAAATATCATGTAATTTTGCAGGCCATATACATAAGCTTGAACACACAAGCTTATGATGGAGGAGTGAGGTGGTGCAAAGAAAAGCAATGAATCAAAGACCACTGGACTGCCTAAAAACAAACGAACAAACAAACAAACAAACAGAAGAGCAGGTTCAAAAATCAGACAACAGAAAGTGGGGTCCTCCGATAGACAAAGTCACGCAGGTGGTTATAGGAAATGATAATATAAGAAGACAGAGGAGAAAAGAGGAGGAGGAGGGGGAGACATTTCATGAGAAGGTACTATGAGATAAGTGTACCTTAGGAAAGTCTAATGGAATGAGCCAGCAGACACAGCTGCAAAATGGAAATAAGAATCAGTTTCATCTAATCTATGATGCCAATGCATCCTGTATTCTTCAGGATTCTAAAACGTGATTCGCCGACTATATTCCTGGGGGTCCTTGCTGCTTGCTGACTTCCCGTCAACAGTTCTCATGCCTTCCACAAGAATGCTCTGCTTCTGTCGCACTATTTGTAGAAACACCCTTGAGAAGAGTACCTGCTGCTTGCAATTCTGGTAAGAGGAACTGTCCTTATATTCCCTTTCATCTACGCGACCACTTTAAAATTTAGAGTGTTCATTGCTATCCTCAGATGAGGCAGAATGGGTCTCAGAGAGATTATCTCTAACCCCAGGGGCACATCCCATTGTCTTCAAGGGGGCTTAACAGAGCAGAAGTGCTGGAAGGGAGAGAAGCGAAGGGGAGGTGAGGGAGAAGGTTCCCAGGATCTGGGAACACAGAACAGACTTGTGTCTTCTGGCTCAGGTGCCAGGAGCTCCTACCTCGAGACTTGTTCCTTCGCTTCCTCTTCCCTGTAGAGGCACTGCGCGAGGCTGGCTGCAGCTGACCGATCTCCACTGGTGTGTTAGCACGGAAACTCTCCTTGAACTTCTGCATCAGGGACTCCACTGTCTCCTGTGCCGCCTCAGCTGGTGCTACAGGGTGGCAATGGGGCTGAGGTTAAGGCTTGGCCCACATTCAGTCCCTGGGGGACTGGGACTGGCCACCATGAGTCTCTGAAACGCCATCTTTGACCTACTAGTGATACTAAACTACAAGTCAACTCATTAGACTAAGGTTATATACGTTGTTGGCATTATCTATCACCTACTATGTTTTAGGCATCGGAAGAAGTCCTTGGGATATGATGGTGAAAGTTTAGGTACAATCCACGTTTCAAGTAATTCATAATCCAGTCAAATATGTATCTGGTAAGTTCCAATATCTTGCAACCATTCTAAATATAGAATATAACAACAAGGTACTTCAGCCATCCAGAAAGTCAAGGCAGCCTTCTGGCAAAAGGCACTATTAGTAATGGAGGTCATAATGATGAGTGGGAAGTACCAAAGGCAGTGGAGCAGGATAGCAGCGAGAGGATATTTGGGATGGGGTGTTCTGAGTGAAGGAGAAGCACAGGGGCCTCAGTAAGAAAATGGAGGGCAGTGTGGGTGCAACGGAGTCTGCACACAGAGGGTACGGAATGAAGCAGGAGCATGAGGACTCCCTGCTTCAATATTTAGCTTGGATTTCATCTAAATGGCAAAGACTTATCACTGAAGGACTTTAAAGTAGAAGCTAACACGCGTAAATTCAGTCTCTTTGCTAGCTATTACTAGTGAAAGTAAGGGGAATACACATGGAAACAGGAAAGGAGATGGGGACTACAATTTCTGCATAAATCACCGATGGGTAATAGTGACCCGAGTGGGGACAGTGGCAGTGAAGGTCACATAATGGATTAGTGATAAACTACAGCTTCATGGGATGCTGATAACATAGTCCACACCCCAAATTTATCAAAAAAAGGCCTCCAGTTGAGTCATAGGATATTCTCCATGCTAACAAGTGCAAGTCAAGCCTGTAAATCTGTCAGTCCAGGTGGAACAAACAACTGGTGACTTTTCCGTGTCCTCATTTCCAGTTTCTACACTGAGACTAATAGGAAATTCCAGGGAATAAGAAAATGAGATCAGAAATTCAGAGAGAAACTGTAGAAGATAAAAGAAAAAAATAGGAAGGCTTGAGAAAGATGAGAGATATTATCAAAGGGAGGGGGAGGAAAGCAGCAGAGAAAATCAGGACACAGCTAAATGGTCTCAGTGCCTTTGTTCTAAGAAATACTTAAAGACAGCCCCGACTTTGAAATCTTCAAACTCAGACTCCCTCCATCCCATCTGCAGAGGCTGGGGAATTTCTCCTCAGGTGGAACACCCTACCACCTGATGCCACGAGATGCCATGCACTAGAAATTCATTTTTCTTTGGGCAAATTTCTCCAGATCAGACAGAGAATCTCACCACCCCCAACTTCTTAATAGCCACTTCTTGTTTTCTCAGAAAAAAAAATCTATTAAATTAGACAGATGTATCTGCAAGGTAAGTCAAAACCAGAGGGTGGATTTGGATATTAGGTTCTGTGGGAAGCCCAATCTTCGGGGATAGGGAGAATCAGATTGCTAAGAAACACAATTGACAATGCAAATGAACCATATGGTGACATTCTAGCTTCCTCACCTACATCTTTTGCTGTCTGCTCCCCAGATATCTCAAGTCAGGTCTATGAAGGTGATCCAAGGAGATTCTACTTACAGGCTTTCTATTCTAACCAGAGGTTGGTTGCAATGATTCTGAGAAGCAGTATCATGTTAAGTTTAACTCAGTATACTGAGAAAAGGCTGATTTGACCAGAATCCTAAGAGAATGCTTGACTAAGGTCAAATATTTAGGAGAAACCATGATTTGAAGTACTAAAAGAAGGAGAAGAACAAAGAAAGGGGTGGAGAAAAGGAGAGACAAACTTCAGGAACGAGAGAAGGTAGTATCTGCAGGCTGGGAAGGAGCCTCACCAAGGAAGTTGCATCAGAATGTTAGGATTTCAGCCTCAAGTTCTGTAAAATAAAACCTTTGCTTGTAGTATTTTATTATGATATCCCTTTGGAAGAACCAAGCAAAACTCCCTTGTAATGTTTATTATACTGGAAGAATGATGAATATGATTTAATAGTTGGCTATGAATGAGAATTGTCTAGCAAACTTGTACTGGAATCTAATGATAAAGGATGATACAAGAGACTATAGCAGAAAATTATTATCTACTAATCTAAAAAAATAAATCATAGCAACCCATGTAAGATAATACAAAGGATGAAATCAGGAACCTAACCTAACCTTGGCCCTAACCCTCAAGGAGTATGTTGGAAAGTGATAGAACAGGACACCTTATGTCCTCCTCTAATCTTGGCACATATATGTGCACACACATGCTTATACAGTGAAAAAGGGAGACGGAGAGATGGACAGAGAGGGAGGAAAAGAGCAAGAGTGAAAGTAAAAAGATCACCAAGGACCACAGTGTAGAACATAGTCCAAGGGTGAGCTGAGAGTAGCCTGGAATAGGATAGCAATGGCAGAGATCCAGCAGTAGAGAAAACAATGGAGAGAACAGGGAGTAGTAAAATAGGATATACTGAGATGTCATCAAATTTGAGCATTATATTGGATGTAAAATACCAACAGGATATGATGTTATAAGGATAACAAAAGAAAGGGGAGAAATGAGTTTGGCTCCTCTTCTTCTGGCTTTACACAACTGTGAAATGATAGTGCCTAGGTGAGATGAGGACCATGTTTGACGAAAATAAACATGAGTATATTTTTATTTAAAATATTTTGTTTAAACAGAAAAGGTGAAATGGTATGGGAGGTCCTTCTGTCGATGTTCTGCTTTTATTAGTTAATAAAGAAACTGTCTTGGGCCTTCACAGGGAATAGAAGTAGGCAGGGAAAACTGGACTGAATGCTAGGTGGAAGAAGGCAGAGTCAGAGAGAAGCCATGTAGCCCCACCAGAGACAGACTTTGGGAATTTTAGCTGGTAAGCCACAGCCACATGGTGATACACAGATTAACAGAAATAAGTTAAATTACTTTGTAAGAGTTAGCCAATAAGAAACTAGAGCTAATGGTTCAAGCAGTGATTTAATTAATACAGTTTCTGTGTGATTATTTTGTGTCTGAGCTGCTGAGCAGCCAGGAACCTACTACAAGATGGTGGGCCAACATGGTGGACTAAATCCACGTAAAACCTGAGAGAGCTTGAAAAGGAACTCTAGACCCTAAAAAAAAACAAAATTTAGCTGTATTTATTTTCCTAAATGGTCTTTGTTTGCTGGTGGCATGCTGTGGCTCCTTAAGAGAGGTTTTCCTGATTAAGTGGTAGCAGGGGAAAAAAAGACATGGTTTTGAAATGCCAGCTTTCTGTGCTGTGCTGATGGTGCAAACTCTGATTCTTTCTGGAGGTCTGGCTATGGAACACTTGAATGGGGTTTGTAGACCTGGGTGCCTTTATGCCTGCTTGGGAAAGTAACTGAGACCATGCTGCAGCTCAATACCCACCCTGCCTGGACAGGTGGCAGGATCAGGACTGCTAAGAGTGCACAGGCAGGAGAGCATAGAAGATTCCTGCTGCCATACACTGAGATATTTCAAGGACACACAGTGCCCTAAGTGGCATATTTCACTATTACTCAGATAAAGGGGGTTTATGTGGTGCATGTTCATTCCCAGAGCTAACTTGCTGAGCATGGTTCCTACCTGGCAGTCCCAGTGCTGGCCATTCTGAAAGGTGGAGAGAGGTGGAGTCAGCATCCAGCCACTGCAACCAAGTTGTGCTTACCATTTTAAAAACTCTTCAGGACAGTAAAGAATTACAGGTGATGCAGTAAAAGACAGATTCAGAAATAAAAGAACTCTAAATGGGTCACAGCATTGGATAAATGTATGTAGTCTTAGGAGAGAGAAGAAAAAGAGTATAGAGAGTTAGAAAAGAAGTAAATTATTTTTTAAAAAGCCTTTAAAGATACAGAGCACAGACAGTCATAGATTAAATTGAGTAAAAAATATGTCATGTAAAGATAGAAAATACACAGAGAGTCTGAATTATACATATTACTGTGCTTTCTTTGAATTTTTTGACTGTAAAGGAGCTAAGCACAGAGAGAAATTTTATTGTATGGGCTGCTAAGCTAAACCAGCATATATGTTCTAAAGTTTTAACTTCCAAATTTGGGTCTAAGGACATGTTGCTTTGGAAAAAAAGTTTTTTTCTTTTATTTCCACAGAAGATGAGATTCTGTGGATTACTTCTAGACAAATATGGTTTGATAGACCACACCCCCTGAAAGGTCACCATGAACACCCTCAAAAAATTACTTCACCCAACTGCTGACTGAGATGAACCTAGCACAAAGGATACACCATGAAAGACTTGATTAACAGTGTCCCCCAAACAGCACAAAGCAGTATGGATAAAACTAGACCCATATTCCCAAATACGATTTATAAATGTTTCTTTTACATTTAAAGGAGGATATGATGTAGAGATTTGCATTGACATGGATCTTAGTTTATTAATACAAATTTAAGGTCAGCCTTGTTATATGTATATTTCTGCTCTTGATTATGATATTATGATTGTGTAGTTCATTTAAAAATGTAATGTATAATTAAGAAATATAGGTTAATAAAATCATCTATAATAGTCAAGCTTATAGTCAGTTAGTTTTTTTAGATGTGTAGACATATATTTCAGTTAGATAGGTATTCTTCAAATCTTTCAGAGACCTTCAGAATATGGCATTTAAAATGTTTTAAGAAGTTAGGACTTTTCATGACAATGAGATATATCTGCTTCTGGCAGCACCAATTAATTCAAGAGGAAGATGGAAATTGAAGATGCTCCTTATAGAGTTTGTTAGATGAACTGGACATGCGAGATCCACCCAGAAATGGCTGCTGAACTTGCTTAAAGGTGAGATGATCCTTCGGGGTTCCTTCTTCATGAAAGAATCTGTGAGACATTCTGCAGGCTACAGAAGAAAGTGACTGGCAAACTGCCAATGTAGGCAGAACTGTCTTTGAAATTTTCTGCTTCATGGAAAAATCTGCTGGATACTATGGGCCTTTGGGCTGAAGACTGGATGCTTCAATAGCACAGAAGAATTTTGGGTGACTGTCTAGGCAGTGATAT